TTATTTTTGTTGTTGTTTTTTTTTTAGTAATTGAAATTCATAATTTTCACAATATTTGCTCTTTGTTACTGACGACACGTTCATAAGGTTTTGGTTTCGTTAATATACTAATATATTTTTTAAAAATTATTTTTATAATCTTCATTAAATGGTTTTCAACAGATTTGGCGCAGCAAATTTTATTTGCTCTCTACATCTCGTCACACACAAAACTTGTTCGTAAGTTTCTAGCTCATTTAAATGTTTTTTTTTTTAAGTTTTAGTTGTTTTTATGTGATTTTTGTTTTGGATACAATACCCAACGAGTATATATGTATATGGTTTTTTTTCTTGTTGCTGATTTGTTTAAATAAATATCCTATAAAGTTAATTTTAATAAGTTAATGCAACCTGAATAGTCTGGATGCTATAAACAGAAAAACAGAATAGAAGAGGTGAAAGACGTTCCAAGCGAAAGTACAAAAAATAATCAACAAATAAAATAATTTTAGCAGCTATGTTTATGTATATGTAAAATATATATATAGATATATGTATATTTATATATATGTATGTATGTATGCTTGTATACAAATTAGACTTTTTGTTTAGCTATCATAAATACTTTCATTTCATTTTGCTTCGCTTCATTTCGTTATTATTGGGTAAGGTATTTATTGCTTTTGACAGTTTGGGATGGGGGGGTTGTTGGTGTTTCCGTTGCTGTGTTATTTGATAATAAATATAAATTGTTAACAGTTAAGCGTTGAAAGCATCGAAAGAACAGGAGGTGTTCGGTTGAAGGAGACAGAAGAATATAGAGCAAGATACAATTAGAAGCAGGAACTACTCTTATTTGCATTACATAGAGAGGAGCGTAGTTGTTGTTGCTGTTGTTGTTTTTGCCTTGTGTTTTTATACAAAATTCGAACGCGTTTAATGCGCGGATTTCGTTGCCATTCTACTCGTAGAATAATTACATTATTTTTGTTTAGATTATAATTCTCGTTTCATTTTGCTTTTTGGATTCATTTTGTTATTTTTAATTTTAAAATTAAACATCAAACTAGTTGAAAATAGTATACGTATACAAACGTTATGGTTGTTTCCATCTCATCTCAGACTCTCATCACTCAGGCAACTTTCAGAATTTCATTTTCATTTTTTCAGCCACAACACGAATTTTCTTTTGAGTTTGAGTTTCTCGTTTTGAGTTTAGAACAAAGCGTTACAATGGGTTTGGTTTTTGGAGGGGTTAGAGTGTTTTTGTTTAGTAATATTACAAATAGATTTCCATTTTCAGACACACAGGAAGAGAGGTTCGCTCTTCCCCCTGGATCTTAATAATTATTATATGTACGTGTACGCGTATTATCAATTATTATCGCTTCCAATAGTGTTTTGATTGCTCCTAGGGATTGATTATATTCAATATAAGTGTGTTGTGTGTGTGTTTATGGTTAGGTTTAACGACAAGTTCACGTTGCTGTTAGTTGGTTGATTGGTTGGTTGCTTGGTTGCCTGCTTGCTGCTTATGGCCTGGCTCCGTTCAAGTATACAAGTTTATAGCTGTATGTGGTAGTTGTCTTTGATTTGCATCTAATATTCCTGGCTTTGGAACATCATTTCATGTCACAATTAACTCTCTACTCCACCAAGTTGCCTGCAATGCAAATTAGTCAATAAGTCAATAAATCATCTATAAAAGTTCCACAATGATTAATGCCCACCTGGAATGCGTGGATGGCGCGCTAGTACAGAGAAACCCTTGCCTTGTGGCCCCTTGGGTGCACGTATGAGTATCAGGCGTGGCACCGTATCATCGCCATTTAGCTTAAGGCGCGAGATCAATCGATCCGGACGATCGTTTATTTTCACAACATTGCAAGCCGAAGATTTTCCATTGCGCTGATAAATAATACATAAATTAGCTATAAATTACATTAAAAATCCAACGACTTACCTGATTGGTGACCACCGAGAACTCCACAGTATCGCCTGGATGCAGGGCCACAGTGTTGCCCTGGACTTCGGACATGTGAAAGAAGAGTTTCTTGCCATCCTCCACCTCAAAGTTGAGAAAACCAAACTGTCCCTTGATGGAATCCACTGTGGCACGTTTCTTCAGCCTTACCGCATTCACATCTGCCGCCCGTCCGCTCTCATCGATGCGGAAGCTGACGAGGTCTCCCTTCTGCAATAGATCCCGCTTGTTCACCAGACTGGTGATGCCGAACTCGTGCTGCGAGATGATTGTGGTGCGCTGCTCGTCGAGTATCTCAATGAGGCCAGCGTACTCCTGCTGATCGGGATTGATGCAACGCAGGGGACGCGCCACCACTCCATTGTGCACGGTTTCCAGCACCGACGGCTGCGGTATGGAGTTCTTGGGCAGCATCCGCACATTCTCAGCTGGCAGGCAATTGCCCGAAACGGAAGTGTTGCCATTGGGTGCGAGGGTATACTCGACCTCCTGGCCAAGTTCTAGCCAATTGGGATTGCCCAGATAGTTGCTAAAGTGAAAGAAGACCTCCTCGTCGTGCGAGAGGGTCTCGATGAATCCAAAGTTCTCCTTCATGACGGCTATGAAGCCGCGGTACACCTGCCCACCCTCGGTGCCGGCCAGATTGTTATTCTCCAGCTTAAAGTCATCCATGTTGGCCTGATTGCTGCTGCTGCCCACGCTGCTAATGCTGCCCCCGGGGCTGCCATGCATCACATAGCCATTCTGCAGCGAAGCGGTCGAGCTGCTGCCACTGATGCCATTCGTAAGCGACATCTGATCGGTTTGAGTGAGGCTGGCAGTTGCCGCCGCCTGGGCAGCAGCCTGTTGATTGATCAATTGCTGTTGCGCCTGCTGCTGTTGCTGTTGCAGTTGCTGTTGCTGCAGCGAAATTTGCTGTACATTGACGGCTATATACTCCTTGTTACGTTTGACCTGTCAGAATAAATCAAATCATTGAAGTTTGAATGGAAATCAGGGAGGGAGACAATACTTACAATGTAAATATCGAAGCGTACACGCTCCCCAATCCTTGGTGGTTTTTCGCAGTCTTTAAGAAAATACATTATAGTCTTTTTAACATCGCCACTTTCGTAGGTAATCACACCGCCCTCGAAGCGATCTTGAGATTTAATAGGGCTCTTGGGCGCCTCACGTGTCACGCAGCCTGCAAAGAGTAGGGAAATGTAAATTAAATGAATATAAAATGGGAAAATGCTGTAAGTGTACCCTCAATATTGCTGGCCATCAGTGTCTCGAATTCCACAGAGTTGGGCGGCAAATGCTTAATGCGTATGGCCTGCAAACGCGAATTGTTATAGGCCAAGCCAGGCTCCTGTATGACAGTGAACTCCACCTCATCATTGACATCGATTTCGCGGCTCTAAATATATCAAAAATTCATTATAATCAAATGTAACGGTTAGTGATTAAACTTTATTCCATTCATACCGTATCCAACACTTCGGTAAAGTGGAAAAATAAACGCACTTGACGCTCCACGCAGCGCAAAAAGCCAAAGCCCTCCTTAAGCGAGGCAATGGTGCCTTGCTCTCGCTTCTCACCGGACACCTTAAAGGTCTCGTCCAGCAGGGCAATGGAGGTGGCACGCTGCAGCTGATCTCGCCTGTCGGTGGCCAACAGGAACTGCACCCAATCCCCGTGGCGCAGCGTAAAGTCACCCTTCTGATCCTTGTCCCCAAACGGCACCTCCACCTCGGAGTAATCCAGGGCGCGATAACGTATGCGTCCCGGCAGCGGATCGTTGTTCTGACGCACCGGATTGTTGCGATCGAGGGACTTTAGAACTTGTCCCTTGTAAACGGTGCTGTCCACATCCTCAAAGATTACGGAACCGGGCGGCAGGCGCGTAATGTTGCACGCAAACTCACGTCCCTGCGGCGGCACAGTGGCAGATTGCTGTAGGAGTAGGGATAAGTTTTGTGTCTTTAAATATGTATGCTGCCTACTTACGCTTCGTGTTTGAATGGTGAACTCGACATCATCGCCTGGACGCAGCTCAACATTGCCCTCGGCCTCGGAGAAGTGAAAGAATATCTCCTTGACCACATCAGCGCGTTCGATGAAGCCAAACGATTCCTTCATGGAGCAAACCACTCCACGATATTTGACCGGCATGGCCGGATTCTCTAGGCGTATATGGCAGGCGCCCAGGTTGCCTCTGTTAGATCAAATATAAACAAAAAAACAGAGAGAGTGTGATTACTTTTATCCTGTTTGCTGCTTTCTCTAGCGCTTTTCTCACCTTTGGTTCGTTGCAATTTGAAAGCTGACCTTATCGCCAGCACGCAAGTTGACATTGCCTTCGACATCGTCTTTGGTATAAGGTAGAAAGAAACATTCGCCACGATTCTCATAGCTGATACGACCCGTGGTCTCGCTGGAGCTGAGCACATTGTTGGCACTGTCCGTGCGCAATTCGGTGGTCACTGTGCCGGTGACACGCTCCTCGGACAGCACAACCTCTGGGGCTATCTTCGATACTTGACTAGCGATCGGCTTGCCGGTGCGACGATCATAGGTCATCTCAAACTCAACGGGATCGCCGATCTTCAGATGATCAATGTTGCCGCTAAACTGCGAAAAGTGAAAGAACAAACGCGCCTGACGCTCGCAGCACTGAATGAATCCATAAGAGTGCTGTTGGGGGGAGATAGAACATGGGAGGGCAGACATTAGAAAGTGCAAATAGAGTGAAAGTTTTTAAATACTCACCAATAGCTTCTCAATGATTCCGGTCTCCCGTGTGGTCTGATTGGGATCCGCAGCTGCGGCCGATGAACTGCTCGACGAGCCAAAGATTGAGGATGAACTGCCAGCCCCATTGGTCAGCACACTGTTCGATGTGAAGACACCAATCTGTGGTACATCGGGCACTTCAGTCGAATCAAACATTCCAATGCTGGCATGTTGTTGTTGTTGCTGCTGCTGCTGTTGCTGTTGTTGTTGCTGCTGCTGGAGAAGCTGTTGCTGATGTTGCTGCTGCTGTTGTTGTTGTTGTTGTTGTTGTTGTTGCTGCTGCTGTTGTTGTTGTTGATGTTGCTGCTGCTGTTGAAGATGATGCATGGACTGCTGCTGCTGAGGCGATGGACCCTGCGGCGGTTGAGGCTGCAGGCCCAAAGTGGTGGAGTCAAGCGTAAATGTTCCAATGGTAGGGAAAGTTGTGGGTATACCCAAATTGCGAATGGCATTTATATTGAAATAACCATCGCATGGCAAGTTTTCGTAGATCTCTGTAAGGAAGAGAGAAAATCAGCTTCAAATTTATATTTCACCCAAAAAAGAAACTCACCTTCGCCTGTGCGATAAACCTTCGATTGCGTATTCATGCTGAATTGATTGATTGATCGATTGATTCGATATGAGGAAAAAAAGTAGAACAAATGCTGATAAGAGGACTAGCAAGACGACGACTGGCGCACTGACTGGGTGCCTTACGTTGATGATCTTTTTAGGATGATAAAACACCCCGAGAAGTCCGTGTGACGAGAACGATGGAACGATGAAGAGAGCGCGCGGCGACGATTGGGTCCAAAAAGTGGCCCACAAAAGGAAAAACTAAAACTGTTTTTGTGTTTTATTGTTTGTTGTTTTTGTTATTTTTGTATCCTTATTCTTTTCGATTTTTAGTGTAATTGTTATTTATCAAAGAGGAAAAAAGAACTAAGCAATAAATACGTATTTGTTTTGTTCGTTTTTTCTTATTTTTGTTTGTTTTGTTTTTTAAATCTTTTTGTTTAATGTTTTTGTTTTTTGTGTATATATATTTTGGCTAAACACTGGCACAAGAGGCACTGAAATTCCTTGTCTTCGAAGTTAATAAAAGTTTTTGTCTTTTACCACACAGAAAAAATTGCTATTCTTTCTTTTGGTTTTTCTTGGTTTGTTGGTTTGTTGTGTTTTGTGTGTTTCCTGGTTGTGTTTTTGTTTGTTTTGTAAAAAATGCCGACAAATATTGTAACGTTGTAGTTTCTGGTTATCCTTTTGGTAGTTGTGGTTGCTCCTTCTCCTTACTCTCTCCTCTTTATCTTCACTGCTTCCTTGATGAATCGCTCCTTGTTGTGTGTTTTATGTGTGTTTTCGGGGGTACTTCAAAATATGGTTCTTGTTCGTGGTCTACGATGAAAATGCATTTCCTTTTCCAGCTTCAGCTGCTGCGCCGTTGATTTCAGTGTTTTTTGTTTGTTGTATTTAAGAATTGAATTTGAATTATTTTATTTGAATTTTATTGCATTTTTTGTTGATTTTTTATCGGTTGATTTTTTTGTAATATTGGTATATTTTTTTATATTTTAGTTTTACTAGAAAAATACACTGGGAATACTTTTACTTTTCGGTTAGATTAGGTTTTGTTTGTTTGATATTTGAATATTTTGTGTTTTTTTTTGTTTTTGCTTTTGTTTTTGGGAAGTGATTATAATTGTTCTTTCTATATAATGTACATAATATATATATATATATATGTATGTATATAATATATATTTGTAGGCAATCGTTGTGGTTTATAGGAAGTAGTAGTGATTTATTAATATATTTGCTTTTCGGTTTCACGGTTTCCCTTAATTCTTGAGTGATTCTGGAGCTGGATTTGGCCCTAGATTGTAGTGTGTGTGGGCTGGGCGCTATTCGACGACGACGACTGTGGGTGGAGGGGCGGACGATGGGGGCTGGCTGCTTTCACGTTGATTGCTTGTGTGACGGCTGTGGCAGCTTCTAGGGTTTGCAAGCTTCTCCTCTCGACTTCCTTTTCTTCTTCTTCAATACTCCTCCTCCTTCTGCTAGTCTGTTTATTTTTGTTAAATCTTTTCGCTGTACGTTGCTATTACTTTTCGGTTGCACAATTTGTATGATTTGTTACTGCAGTTGTTCTTGCTATTGCTGTTTCATTTACTATTCACTAAGCAAAAATTACGGGGCTTTTACGGCTTTAGAATATAGATATATATTTATGTCGATATATGTATGTAGATACTCCCATACAGCGGAGAGGTTCGTTCTTCTCTGATCATTTACTATGGTTGTTTGAAATCTTAGCGACTACGATTTTTATTTGTGGTTTATTTGTTTAAATAATAATATTTTTTTTTTTTTGAATGCGTTTTGAAGTCTTTTTTTATAACCTAGGGTTTTTATTTTGCTTGTTTTGTTGTTGGTTGGTTGGTTTTTGTTTTTGTTTTTCACTTATTCTTTCGGTTTTTTTGCTTACTAGATTTAAGCTTAGTTTAATAGTTTATATAATATAATATAATATATAATATACTATAGTATATATGTATCGAAGTCCTTTAAGATATCACGAATTTGTTTCAATGTTTTTTTATCTTTTCATTTGCATTTGCTCTTAAGTGTAAAGTTGTTGTTGGTTTAAGATATTCTCTCTCTCTCTCTCTCTCTTCGTTCGCTCTCCTTTTTCAGCTTTCGCTCCTTTGCTATTGTTAAAAATTACAGTTATTTCCCTTTCATTCCGTTAGAGATTTTTTTTGTGGTTTTTTCTTGTTCTTTTTTTCTTTTTGTTTAAATTTATAAATTTACAGTAATTATCACAGAGTTGTTAAATCTTTCTTTGAATTTGTTTTGTTTTTTGTTTTTTTTGTTTTGTTTTTCTTTACTTTCCTTTGTTGCAGTTGCTTTTTGTTGTTGCTGTTGTTGTTTTAGACTTTTAACATTTCTCACTAGGTACACTTATAAAAAAATTCAACTGAAAAACTAGTAAAAAACCATGTTTTGTTGTAAAATAAAAACGGTTGTTGTTGATTTTTTTTGGGAGGGCACAAGGCCGGCACAGTTTTGTTGTCCTCAGTTTTCTTTCTATATTTTTCCGTGTTTTCTTTTCGCTCGGTTTATGTACAAAAAAAATGTGTTGGCTAAGTTTTTCGTTTATGTTTTAACGGTTTTGTTTTGTTTTTGCGTTTATTTGCATAGATGTACTAGGGTTTCATTCTCATTCTCCTTCTTCTTCGTGTTTTGTTGTGGTGTAAAACGGTACTTAAAACTTATAGAATTCTTGTAGATTTTTGGTTTTAATGTTTTTTTTTTTTTGCTTTATTGTTACCGTTATGTAGTAGATTCCTTTTGTTTTATGCTTTTGCTATTCACACATTTTTGCGGCACAATTGTTGCTTTATCGTTTATTTTGCTTTGCTCCTTCTTCCTTTAGTTATTTCGTGCTCCTGGCTACTTTTCTCTGGCTCTCTTCCTATCCGGCTCTCTTGCGCGCACACACTGTCCTCGGCCCGATGGGCTTATACCGTTATCTAGGCTTAAAGGCTAGAAGTTTCTGTTTTCTTTTGTATTTCAATAATTTAAGATTGATGTTGCGTTTAACTTAAATTGTTTATTTGTTTTGTTATAGTTTTGTTTTACTCCCGGTTATTTTTGTACTTTAAAACATTAATTCAGTTGTTTGTTGGTTGGTGTTCTTTTGTTGTTTTTGTTGTTGCTGCTGCTTCTGTAGCTTCCTTTTGTGGTTGGCTTAATGTTAAATAATTAGCAAATTGAATTCACTTTGACTTAACAGAAAAATTCGTAATTAAATTAAAGCTTTTTGCAGGAAATTAAATGAGGAATTTTGGGATTGATGTTGATTTTGCTTTTAGAAAGTTTCTTTTTTCACGTGTTGTTTGCCTTTTACTGTTATTCGAGTTCTTGAGACGTTCACAGAACGTCTGCCGGTTTTTATCCTACCTCTAGGTTTTTCCGTTGGTTTTTCAGTGCTTGCCGTTTTTTGCTTTTGCTTTCGCTTCCTCTTTTTATCAATTTCTTTTTAGTTTTGCGTTTGTTGTTGGTTTTTATGTGTTTTTTTGTTGGTGCTTTTGAGTATTGACGAGTTAATTTCACAGCGTTTACAATTTGTTTGGTTTTGTTGTTTTTTGTTGGTTTTTTATTTGTTTTATTTGAAAGTCTTCCGTTTCAAGCTTGGCTTGTTGTTTTTTGTTGTATTTTTTTGTTTTATTTGCGCAGTCGCTTTGTCTCCCTCTCACCTACGGGACGCAGGCCTCACGGACGTCCCACTAACTGGTAGGTTCTCGGCGTTCCCTCTGTGTTTTCTCTCTTTCTTTGCAAAGGAAAGCAAACATTAACTAAAGAAACCAAAAAGTTGATGGCAGAAGTTTTGCTTTTGCCCTCGTTGACTTTTTTGAGCTTTTTGTTGATTTTTGTTGTTGTTGGTGTAGTAGTTGTTGATTTTAAGATATTTTTGCTGTGACTTTCAATTATTTTTTATGTTTTATTTTTTGATTCGTTTTCGATGGTGTTTATTATATATTTTTTTATTTTTTGTTGTATTTTTTATTTATTATTATTATTTTTATTCAGATTATGATGAAAGTGATGTCAAAACGGAGTTTTAGTTACAAAAGCTGCAAGAAAGTAAGGGAGGGGGAAGAGAAAGGTGGAAACAATTAGCAAATACTTTTTTTTCTGGGCAGTGAAATCTACACCGCAGTCGTCTGCAGTTTTATTGATTTGGCTGCCGGAAAAATTGCACGCACACATGCAGACGCACACTCTCTCTCATTCACACACACACACACACAGCAGCATACTGCAATTGTAACTATTTTTACACATTTTTGTTGTGGTTTTTTGCGTAAATTTAGCAGCCGACTGTACATACAGCCACACATACACCGACACACACTCACACACATTCACACGGTGCCAAGTTGGTAAAAAAGTTTTTTTTCCACTTTTTTTCGGGCTGCAAATTTGGCACCCCTTAGCAGACCAGACACAATTGCCTGGTATGAAAATTGATTTTAAGGCGTTTAAATGTGGTTTTTACAGCAATCTGCAATGCTTCACTATCACAGTATTGCTTGCGGCACATTTTGTGCATAATTTCAGGCCGAATTTTAGTTAATTAATTGTCTTATTTGAAGAGAAAATAATTTTCACGAGTGAGATACGTACCACACGACAGCACAACAGTGTAACCGCGGAAAATATACCGTGAGACCCTTAAAAATATACCAAAATATACCATATCATTCTACAAAGATACCGTAAGATACCGTAGTCTTAAAACATATTTCTCGATGTTGAAGTTATATTTGATAATACAAGCTTGCAAAGACTTTTAACACTGAAACATTAATTTAATGGGATTGAAGAATCAAATTGGCTTATTATAAGTACTCCTTTTTATTGGATCGTATTCCTTCTGACCTTATATTTTACAAATATGTATTTGCAATTTTCATTTGATGATCAGGGAAATTCTCTCCTGTGCCTGAACGGTCAGGGAAATTCTATCCTGCCCGTAAACGGTCAGGGATATATTGTATTATTGTATTATATCGATATATAATTTTTTCTAGGAAATACGCCAAAATTGATCATTTTCGTAGATGTATGGTCAACAGAACGGATTTTTATGAATTCATTTTATTTAATCAACTTTTAAGATTAAATAGATTCCCGCGGCCATTGACTTTACCTATCGATGTACCCTTTTTATCGTTATTTTTGTGTGGCAATTGAAGTTGACTTGTCGGCTGCATGCCTTTATATTTAAAATAGTTAACAGAATTATGGTTATAAGAACAATTTTTCCGGCATACATTATATAAATTGTATTCCAGATTCCATTCTGTGATTTCACAGTTCGGTATTTTAATATGTATTTAGAAAGACAGTCCTATGTTAAGTTTTCACATGGACAATGAGTGATAACGTTTATTTTGTTATTAAATATTCATCCCACAGATAATATTTTCAGTGCTGAGAGTCCTAACTAGCTGGTAATATTAAATGAGATTTCAAAATCGAGGAACATAATTTACGATTCGGTTTAATTTATTGTATATTTTGGTAAATTGGTTAGGGTCACGCGGTATATTTTATCGATAAATCCGCGGTCACACTGATTACAAGAATCGAAATTTCACAATCGCGCACAGCTACGCGTAATATTTTTTACATTTTTACTAAATTTGTAAAACGACAATCTGCTCTATGAGGCGGCAACACCTTTGGCAGGACAACAACAAACAGAATTTGATACCAAATTGACGTAGTGTAGGGTAGGCATCGCACTGGGGCATTTGGCTAGGGATAGCCCAGGCAAACGCAACAACAACACAACCATCCGGAATCGTTGAATAACCCCAAAGAAAAGTCATGGCTTTCCGGCTGCTGAGCACGGCCAAGGCGATGAGCAGCCTGATGAGACGCAGCTACATGTCCGGTCCGCTGCCAAACAAAGTGAGTAACAGGATGACGGAATTAGCAAGGGTCACGTGATGGCTCCTTTTAAACCCTCCGCTTTCTCCTTCTCCGGCATCACCTTCTCTGCCCGCAGGTGCAGCGCGAAGCCAGTGCTGGCGTTGGTATGCTGCCTCGGGAACTGTCGCCACTCATACGCTACTTCGTGGAGCAGCTGCAGTTGTTCTGCAAGAAGCCGCCAAAGGGTTTCGAAAAGTACTTTGAGGCCGGCGGCAAGTCCACACAGCCAAAAGGTGCCAATGGGGAGAAAAAACCTGTGGCAAAGGACAGCCAATCAGCGACAGATAAATCCAAAGCAACACAACCCCAAACTTCAAAGTCAGCAGCTGCCTCAGAGTCCAAATCAGATTGGAATTTCGGAATGTTTAGCAACAGTTCACGCGGACCGTCTGGAAGACGGTCAAATCCGCCGGGCGGTCGCCCCATAGGCGAGGGCAGTGGCGGAGATCGCGAGCGCTGGATACTGCTGGGCGCCATCGGCGCCGTGGTGCTTGTCGGCTCGTTTGCGTTCTTCGAGATGGGCTACAAGGAGATCTCCTGGAAGGAATTCGTAAACAGGTGCGTGACAGCAATTCTCTGCAATTTTTATTATGTAATTTATGAATTTTTCTCTCGTGTTTTTTTGTTTGCTCAGTTACCTGTCCAAGGGCATGGTGGAGAAGCTGGAGGTGGTTAACAAGAAGTGGGTGCGTGTGCGCCTCCAGCAGAACAGTGGCCAAGGCAGCGGCGTGCTCTGGTTCAATATTGGCAGCGTCGACAGTTTCGAGCGGAATCTGGAGACGGCGCAAACGGAGCAGGGCACGGAATCGATCAACTTTGTGCCCGTCATCTATCGCAACGAGGTGGAGGCGTCAAGCTTGACGGGTCTGCTGCCCACGCTGCTCATCATCGGTTTCCTTGTCTACATGATGCGCAAATCCGCTGACATGATGGGCGGCGCACGGGGACGCAAGGGTGGCGGTCTCTTTGGCGGCGTCATGCAGTCCACAGCCAAGCTGATAAATCCCACAGAGATTGGTGTGGGCTTCAAGTGAGTTTCGCGAGTCTCCATTCTGCTTTCATCTTTTAATTTCTATTCTTTCCCTAGGGACGTTGCTGGCTGTGAGGAGGCCAAGATTGAGATCATGGAGTTTGTCAACTTCCTGAAGAATCCACAGCAGTACATCGATCTGGGCGCCAAGATACCAAAGGGCGCCATGCTCACGGGACCCCCGGGCACGGGCAAAACGCTGCTGGCCAAGGCCACCGCTGGCGAGGCGAATGTTCCCTTCATCACAGTCTCCGGCTCGGAGTTCCTCGAGATGTTTGTGGGCGTGGGACCGTCCCGCGTGCGTGACATGTTCGCCATGGCCCGCAAGCATGCTCCCTGCATCCTGTTCATCGATGAGATCGATGCCGTGGGTCGCAAGCGTGGCGGCAAGACCTTTGGCGGCCACTCGGAGCAGGAGAACACACTAAATCAGCTGCTGGTGGAGATGGATGGCTTCAATACGACGACGAATGTGGTGGTGCTGGCTGCCACCAATCGCGTGGACATCCTGGACAAGGCACTGATGCGACCGGGTCGCTTCGATCGTCAGATCTATGTGCCAGCGCCCGACATCAAGGGCAGGGCGAGCATATTCAAGGTGCATCTGGGCGGACTTAAGGCGGAGCTGGACAAGAATGATCTGGCCCGCAAAATGGCAGCCCTGACGCCCGGCTTCACGGGCGCTGACATCGCCAACGTGTGCAATGAGGCCGCTCTGATTGCCGCACGCGACTCCAAGGACTCGATTGTGCTGAAGCATTTCGAGCAGGCCATCGAGCGTGTGATTGCCGGCATGGAGAAGAAGACGAATGTGCTGGCGCCGGAGGAGAAGAAGACGGTGGCGCATCACGAGGCAGGACACGCTGTGGCCGGCTGGTTCCTGGAGCATGCCGATCCCCTGCTAAAGGTTTCGATCATACCGCGCGGCAAGGGTCTGGGCTATGCCCAGTACCTGCCCCGGGATCACTATCTGCTGTCCAAGGAGCAGCTGTTCGATCGCATGTGCATGACCATCGGTGGCCGCGTGGCCGAGGAGCTGTTCTTCAATCGCATCACCACCGGCGCACAGGATGATCTGAAGAAGATCACGGACATCGCGTACTCGCAGGTGGTGCGCTTCGGAATGAGCGACAAGATCGGGCAGGTGAGCTTCGATGTGGGCCAGGCCGGCGATCCTGTGTTCAGCAAGCCCTACTCGGAGGACACGGCCATGATGATCGACGGCGAGGTGCGGTGCATCATCAAGACCGCCCACGAGGCCACCACTACTCTGCTGACCAAGCACAAGGAGGAGGTGCGCCGTGTCGCCGAGCGACTGCTGCAGAACGAGGTGCTCAGCCGCGACGACATGATCGAGCTGCTCGGCCCGCGTCCCTTCAAGGAGAAGTCCACCTACGAGGAGTTTGTCGAGGGCACCGGCTCCTTCGAGGAGGACACCACGCTGCCCGAGGGCCTCAAGAGTTGGAACAAGGAGAAGGAGATCACACCGCCCACAGACACCTCCACGTCGCCTCCGCCACCGACCAAGCCAGTAACCGCACAGACCAGCTAGACGCTCGTCTGTTCAGCAGGGCCGCCGTCTCTTTGCTTTCGTTGTAATCCCTAGTCAAGGTTAGAGAATGTGCAACCAGAAAGGATGGAGGAGCGGAAGAGCAGCGCTTTAACGGGTGCCTGGAGTGTCCTTCCCCTACCCAAACACTCAGCCCACAAACACACACCCACAAGTGCACGCTCTTCACAATGTTTTTGGATATTTTTAAGCTAGAACCCACATGGATGTGTCCCTGTTCGGGTGTTTAAGAACGGGGCATTGGATCTGAAAACTAAATTATCCGTTAACTGTATTTTGAACATGGAACAATAAATGCGCCTTTAAGTGTGGGAAAACGCTTGAATTTATAACGGAGCTTTCTGTCAGGCGCTCGCTTCGAAGGTATTTCGAGCGAAAGGTGGGTGGAGTAAGCCGCTCTTGCGGTTAATTGCTGCTATTCGGTAAATTCCTCTCTTTTGATTGAGGAGAGTTTTGATGGCCTCACCTTATCTGGATTTATACCCTGCGCGTTGCTACCCTTTTTTATGCACATTGTAAGCTTTTCGCTCTTAATTTTCCTACTCTCTTTTATTTACACATGCTTTCTTTGCTCTCTCGCACTCGCTCTCTCTATGTCTCTCTCTGAGTGACTGTGGGCCGCTTATCACTTATCAGCTGTTCCGATGCTGATGTGATGCGCTTTGTGCAGCCGGCACGGACACGTTAAGTAGTGCAAGTTGCCGCAAAGCTTTGCTCAAGTACAACTACAACTACCACCATCCATCGCATCGAGTGGCGGCCCAGTGTGTGTTGGGGTCTCAGCTGCCGCTTGCCGCCTGCCGTGTCGTAGAGTCGTTTTGTTGGTTGTCGCGTTCGTGTGCGCGTACAGAAAACAGCAGCAGCAGCAGCCAGCCAGCAGCAGCAGCAGCAGCAAATCGCAGTCGCAATAATAGCCACAATATAGTATTCCGCTGAAGTCCCCCAGTTTCGAATCATCTGCCGCTGCAGTTGCAAGCAAGTGGAGTGCGCCGGCCATAACTCAACTCAATAATCGTACAATATAATCATAAGCAACAGCAGCAGCAGTTGGCTGAATTGCATTTTGTTAAATCGACGATGGCTGTGTGGAATGCAATTTGACGATTATATAATGTAAAACACAATAAACAAAAAACAAATACAAGGCGAGAATTAATCGGAAAGAAAGAGTGCGCGGACAAAAATCAAAGTTGAATTAAAGTTCTACCTGCTGTGGGATCCATCTGCTCTCCTTGTCCATCTTCTCCTTTTTCGTCTCCTTCTTCCTCGACTGCCTCTCCGAGTTTTGTAGCAATTAGCTTCGGTTGATCGCTTGCTTGGTGCAGGCAAAATGGCAGCCGGCCGGCAAAAGTCCATTCATAACGGAGATTGAAGTTCGAATTTCAAATTACTGAGATCATTTATTATGCCGCCCTGTGGCCGTTGATCGTTCTTAGGGCTTTTCATTTGCAATGCAATTTTTGTGTTTGATTTGTGTTTTGTGTTTTGTTTTTCTTTTTTTTTTTGCCAATTGTCGCAGTTGTCGGGTCACGTGTTTGTTGCTGCCGCCAGTTAACTTCTGCACTCGTTGTAACGGTGCATGTTCTCCGTTGGTTGTGTGTGCGTGAGTGGGTGCATTGGTGTGCATGAGTGTCTGTTTGTGAAAGCTTGCATGCTGTGCGTTATTACGAGGCTAATGTTGTTGTTTTTGTTGCTGTCGCTGCCTCTACTGCAGTTGTTCTTCCTCCCATCTCACTCTGTCTGTCCGTCTCTCTGTGCTGCTCTATCAATTGTTTGTTGTTGTGGGTGTGGGAAAAGATCAAGGCGCGTATTAGCGCACAGCAACATGCAAACACAGTGAGCGGGAGGGAGGGGTGGTGGGAGCGTGTCAGAACAGAAGACAAAAGTTCAGAGCTATAAAAGTTCATTGAATGGGAAATAGTTAGCCTGTGGGTGAGATCAGGTGGGAGACAAAGTGGTTTTCGTTCATCAATTAAAATAGTGTTCCCAGAAATATTTTTAGTGGTTTATAGCTTCAAGTTACTAGAATTAGAGAATTTCCTCTTAAGATGATCGTTGGTGTAAATGTTGTCTATGATTGGAGCTTCCGTATGGGTTCCTTCGGTTATTCTGTGTTGCCAAAGCGGGAGCTTGGTTTAATTTATTTCTTCAGTTGTTTCTTGTATCATATTTCTAGAGATCTTCCACAATTGCTTTCCATGCGCTTAGGTCTTCTTTTAGTTGCTACTTTGACAGCTGCATCTGCCATGCCTCCACTTTATATTCATTGCCATTTAGACAGCTGGCTGCTATAACTGGATTGAAACTCCCCCGATGGAGTGTCGTTCTTTTACTGAAATTTATTGTCTGGCTTTAGTTGCACATAAAATAAGGCTAATTTATTTCAAACGGCAGATCTATTTCACTCTCTATTGTTGTACCCGCATCCAAATTGTCACTCAGCCGTCAATGCCGTCAATGCCGTGCACCTGCCAGCTGCCACCTGCCACCTGCCACCCACTTTCTGCTACTGCCGCACACTTGCCTGGCCACCCCCCAATCGCTGCAGTTTTACGATTTTTCGTTGCGAATCATTGCACTTTTTGCAGACAGCGGAGAGAGAAGGAGAGCAAGGAGTTGCCTGTCGAAAGTTTGCATTTCCGAAAGTTTAAAATTACAATTTAATTAAATTTCACACCGCTAACAACCCCCCCAAACCACCCACAAACCACAAACAAGCAACAAACAAAAAAAAAACATATCTTTTTTGCAGGAATACGATGTTGGTGCCTTCAAAATCCAATAAGTATCCAACAACAACCACAACAACAAAGCAAAACAACAACAAAAGTTAACGCAACGTTTCTAAAACACTACAAAAATAACAATAATACCCCATAAATAAATAAATAAAATAAAATTAATTAAAACAAGTAAAATATTTGTTTTAAAACAAATATTTTTAACCAAAAGTGGCCTGCAAAACGAGGAGGAGAAAGCAACAACAAAAGAAGCAACCTAGAAATGTGATTCCCAGTGTGAAATGTAAACAAAAACGTGAACAATTCTATTTGATTATTAGCCAAAGCAAAGCCAAGGGCAAAAGCAAACCTAAAACCAAAACCAAACCCAAAGCAAAAGTCATAAAAAACCAAACAACAAAAATAAATTAAAGCAAACGTAAAAGCGGTAAAAGCAGTGGCAAAAATCCAAGTAGCCAAATGGAAATCAAGGAATCCTCAAGCAAATTAAACAGCAGACTAGCAGCAGCAGCCACCAGCGTGGCCAATGATTAAGGGCCGGGATTGTTAGCCGTTCCGTAGTAATCGTAGCAGCATCCCCCCGTCCATCCATAAACACCACACCACACCACACCACAGACGCCCCCCAGCCCAGCGCTCAATGCTCGGACAGCAGACGTTGGCGCAACAATTATAGAGTAGCAACAGAGAGCAGACAGTCAGTCAGTCAGTCCCCCGCAAGACACATCCCCATCTACACACATACAACTACAACATGGACATCAAGATTGAGCAGCAGCAGCAGCAACAACAACAGCAGCAGCAGCAGCAGCAACAACAGCAAGTGGAGCTGGGTCCCTGCTCGCCCTCGGAGGTGCCCAATGATCCTGGGTAAGTGTTTTACTCTATTAATTTCAAGAACTTCAAGAAGGTATTGCAGTGTGTACTGGAAGGTTTGTGACATTATCTGGGAACTAAGATTCCATCGTGTCAGGTTTCTACAGATATTAGTCCTTTCATAATTCACTAGATACCAGTCTGTTCTTTCATCTTTTAGTTGGATTCTAGATCCCCAAGTTCTTTAGTTATTTGACACTTCCATCATTCACTTTCTTTGTGCTAATACCCTAACAAGTTCTTCAAAATATCCATCTATAACTAACGCCACCTAAAATATTGTTTTGATGAATTTTTAATTGGATTTCTATGAGAAAAGTTTACCCCAAACATGATTGATTCTCAAACAAACTTCATGATTTCTTTTATAAAGCATCCAAAAAGCTGCATTTGATGAAATGTTAAATTTCCGCAAACAAATTGGCAAAACTTTCCCCATTATGCCACAAAATCTGATCCAAATTCGATAACTGCCCGGAGATTATCTCCTCAAGAGTATCTAATTATTCGCTTACCAAAAATCTCGCCCGCTTCTTTCTTTAATGTGTTTTTTTTTTATGTCTGAGGTCGTGGACGTGGCATTAATTGTTTTAGTTTTAAGTTTGTCATTATTGAAGAGCAGGAAATGGCAGGGGAGCGGTGGTAAGTTGTGAGTAACGTGGCAAGGAGGATGCGGCTGGGGTTGGGAAAGTGTGAAAGTGTGAAAGCAGTTAGAGCTGTTAGAGCTGTTGACAGAAAGTTTTTCTATGTCAACTATGGGCACCAGTGGTGTCTAGGCCGAGAACAGGGGAGTGCAAAGTCTGCGAAACTAATTAGAAAACAATTTGCCAAGGACATCAAAATTCAATTAAAGCCATTGAGAGCTTAGTGCTTTAGTGCATTGCAGTTAGTCGTCTCCTCAGCACTCGGAACTCGTCCTTCTACTGGTTGCAGTTTATCATCGGTCCAGTATCTGCCACTCAGCCACACGGCCACTGCCACTTTGCCACTTCCTGTGTCGCATTTACTCTGCACCGAAAATGGGTTAAGTTGTGATTGCGGCGGTGTCATATGCAGCAGATTAATAGCAAGCTGCATTGCTGATAATTTGCATCTGGCTGTGGATGCGGAGGATTGCAACGGTTGTGGGTGGGAAAGTCAGAGAGAGAGAAACAGACAAACAAATGAGTGATCCCATGATTGGCAGTCGAGTGGCACTGCTGGCACTGATTGAAAGGTAATGATGATGGGCAGCGTCTGGGTGCAGGCAGGCACAAAACAGCCTTTTGACGCAGTCCATGAACTGAACAAATTATGAAAGGAGGCAAATGCCACAATCGATGTGGCATTAGTATTCATGCATGTGTAGCATAAATGAGATTTCTAGGGAATGAATATGAAATGGTGGAAAATGTAATTGCAGTTAGAAAAGGGAGCATATAAAAGGGGAAGAGATCTATGGGAAAATGCGTGGAATTGGATTGTAGATTTGTGTATTTATCTAGGAAAAATCTTCATTAGGATTATGGGGCAATAAAGTTATAGGAAAAATAAGTAAAATACCCCGAAAAACGACTAAGTTTTCTGTTTATTTTACTCCCATTCAGAAATCATAGATCTCAACTATTTTCTCCAGCAAATAAAAAGAAAACCCACAGGAAAGATCACAAAATATTATCCCAAGTTTATGCCGCAATTTTAATTGAATTTCTTGCAACTTCAAACAAAGTAAATCTTAAATATGAGACACTAATGGAGCGTTCCATAACCATCTCTGGTGTCACACTGAATCACAGAAACTCTCCATAATATCGCGAAGAAGTCAGACATTATCTCCGACTATGGGGCAGAGATCTCCAAGGGAAAAAAGAGAGAGAGACGGGCAGCGGGATATGGGCAGTAGTTATGGCCATATGGCCCCGGACAGCCGTCGCAATCCATTGAACACGCAATCCCCATAAATTATGCAGTTCATGCATATACATCTGATACATAATTTCCTCCACACCCCTTGCCACTGCCACATTTCGTATGCGAGTATATCTATTATCGAAATGCTGCAAATTTCAGCACTCCACAAAGAGTGTGCGGCTCGGGGTGGGGCCTGTAGGCTTTTGGGATGTTTGATGCAGCAGCTCTTCTTGTCTATTTGCATTAGTTTTTGGCCAACTTGCAGCAACAGCAACAGCCACAAAAATAGGCTGCTGCATGTTGCATCTTCAAGTGGCAGGCAGTCAGGGCAGGGCGGGCCGGTAGGCTACCGGATAAAAGAAATGGATCACCTGCTGCTCGCGACCGATGCTGCTGCCTCCATCTCCGCTGCTGCTGGCAGGTGCCACACTGGCAACAGTTGCTGCAAACAGTTGCAGTCGGGTAAAAGTTTTGTGTGTGGCGGGAAATGCAGCACCTAGCAGGGCAGTGCAGCGCAGAGCAGCGCGAATGTTGAATGCATAAATCTTGAATTAATGTAAAATACCTTTTGATGACGTTCCCCACAGAAACAGACACAGATACAGATACAAATGCATCCGCATATCTGCATCTTTCACTCTCTCTGTCTCTCTATCTGTATCTCTATTTCGGTTGTGCAACTTCGGGGGAGACATGCAAATGCAACAATTCCATTCACAGTTTCGTTCGTTCGGTCGGTGGCTCTCCTCGCGGCGATCGCCATGGCTCAGTAAATTTGAACGGTCTCCCGGCCTCGGCACCGCCTTCCTGCTCATTCACTCTCCCACTCTTTCATGCTCTTACTTTTGGCAACTTTATAAATATTTTGAAGGGCCTCCAACCAGTGGAAAACTTGCGAGAAAGAGGAAAACAGAAGGTGCCACCGAAAGAAGGGAAGGGAAGATCTATTTGCTTTGGCGAAAGGATGAGACGATCGGTGGCCGCTGAGAGATCTTCTTCTGGCGCAAAATGGCAAAGTAAATAAACACAAAAGGCGCAACTAAATGCAAAAAATAACAACAGCACGCAACAGTACTTTAAAATAACTAAATAAATGCCCTGCTATTAATATAATTCACTTTGCCAATGTATTTTTAGTGGCAAAATGCAGCAAGAACAACAAACGTGTGGAGGCTGATCGAGCAGCTGGGATACCCTTTAGTAGATGGGATCAATGCTGGGTAGAAAACCACAAATTTACTACTTTTATTTATAGAAATTTGTTCATTTAGTTCAAGAAAGCAGAGATTTTAGGGTATTTAATCTATAAATTGTAATATAAAACATGAAAAATCTCTGTATGTATCCCCTAAAACTATCATGCTTCATCTAATACCTCAAATTCGTGTAAAAACAGAGCATCCGACAGAAGGAATTTACCTACACTTAAAAGTGTTTTGTTTTTGGTTTTTAATTAGAGCCTTCCATTAAATCTTAATTGCATGTTAGATGAAGTGAAAAAATGCACAAATTACAGTTCAAGAAATATTATTTGGAGTCTCTCTGTGCATAAATATCCTGTAAAACGCATTAATACAAAGGAATCTTCAGCTATAAAACACCAAAACAATTGAACAATTGTTGAAAAATCAACAAGTATTTGAGTTATTTTAGGATATCCCCAACCCAGTGGTTTAGCTAGTAAATCCATCCCCTGCTACCCTCTATGCATGTGGTGGGGCGAGAACATGGCTGGCTACGTACGACAACGACAACGGCATCCGCATTGGCATTCGAGTTCGACAATTATCCATTAAAACACTGACACGCGGCACCCAAAAGCACACAGGAATCAAAAGCAATGCAAACCAAAAACAAAAACACACGCTCTCTCTCTCTCGTCCAGCGCTCGCCCCTTTCGAAAAATTGGGCCCTAGAAATTAACAGCAAGAACAACAAGAACCACGAGAGAGGGAATGCAGTGAGCGACGGCTGCAACAACCGTTAGAGAGGTTGTGGTCATTCGCGCAAGGATGGGACGGAGGTGGGTAGGGTAGGGAAGAGTTGGTTTGGCGGGGCAATGGCAATTGCACTCGCTGCTCTTTTCATAATTGTCGTTTTGTTTCTTGCCTCAGTCTCTCTCTCACCCTCTCTATCGCACTGCTTGTAATTGCGGCTTTGTTACGTTTCGTAAATTGATTCATTGTACTGACTACGGAGGAGCATGGAGCCACTGAAAATTCCCATTTACCCAATCGTCTGTCACATTCACAGCGTACTTCTCCTGTTTTGTCTGATATAATTGCTTTCAAATGATTTTGTGTCGCTGTGTGTGCCGCGCAGTTCCATATTGCCCCAAACTGTTGTTTGCTTGTCATTGTCCCTCGTCTCGTCCCGTGTCCATGTTGTCCCGTGTTCGTGTTTGTGTCGTTTGTCCGGCCAATAAGCTTTCATTTGGTATGCATAATGAGACCTGGGGCAATTTGACTCTAGGGCAGCCATTAGCGTAAAGTGCCAGCCGACTTTGTTGCAGATTTTCAATTTATAACCAATAAGCCAGAAATAAAAACAAAAACCAAAACAAACACGAACAGATGCTGGACATTCCCAACACTGAAGAGAGATCAATCGATTGACCATTTAGCAACACTTAAAGAGATAGCGTTAGTGTATTTTTCTTGTGCGTGTGTGAAGTTGCTGCGTGTCGTGAGTTCCTGCTCGTTTTTTTTTTAAGTGGTTTAAAGTGTCTTAAATGTGTTAAAAAAGTGTTTCGATATGAGATTTCAGTGTTTGTTTACTCTCCGGTGAGCTTCAATGGGTTTATTTTGTGTATCAACATGTAAATTAATGATTTTCATTGAGACAAAGTCGACTGCCCGCAGCAGCCGGCAAATAACGGAACTCTGCCATGGCAAAGGAGTATGTGTACAGAAGGAGAGCGTGTTCGTGTGTGGGTGTTAGTGAGAGAGAGAGAGAATAACCACTTAAACCGCAAAAATAGCAGAAACTTTTGTGTGCAATTCCACAATTGACATTATCAAAATTCAATTTATAATCTCCCTGCCCGTCTGACATGCCATTTGGGGGAAACTAAAACTTTTCATTTGCTTAAGTTGCACTTTTAA